TTTGTTTTTTCATGGTGGCTTCTACATCCATAGGCATTCCATTTACGGAAGCTAGGTAGAAGGATCTGGAGACGACCAGAGCCTTTGTAAGTAGTTCCTTTCCTTTGTATGAAGGATGTGTCTTCTGCCACACATCCATTATTTGCTGTTGTTTCTCAAGTATTGTGTTCCACTGTTGTGTAACATTATGTTCATGGCCTACCCATGCACCCAACGTCCGCATGGATTCACCGTCTTTCACAAACCTTCCACCTGGGGGGAACTCCTGTCCCCCCAAGGTTTTGGATTCTACAAAGTCCGTGCGGTAGTCCTTGGGCCCTACCGGTAGGTACTCTGTTTTAGCTACGTTAAACTGTGCCGTGGAGGCTACGCAGAATGTATTAAGTATATGTGTTAGCACATGTATATTGTCAGTGTCTCTTAGGTACACCATTGTATCATCTGCAAAAAGCGATGCTATTATTCTTTCTGTAGTTCCTTCTACAGAAATGCCTTCAAGTTCTGATTCCCTCAGCATGATGGCTAGCGGTTCAATGGCTATGTCATAGAGGATGCACGACATGGGATCGCCTTGTCTTACTCCTCTTTTTACTTCGAAAGAATCCGACAGGGTTCCATTCACCCCTACTTTAGTAGAGGCGTTCCCATATAGATTCTTAACAGTGTTAATGAAAGACGGTGGAAGTCCGAAGCTTTCTAGAATTTCCCATAGGTAGTCATGGGCTATTCGATCGTACGCCTTCTCCTGATCGAGTGCCACTATGCAACCTTTGACTTCCATTATATCACAGTAGTCAATTATAGTTTGTGTGAGCCTAATGTTATTTAAAATGTTTCGTCCCGGTACGAATCCAGCTTGTGCTGGATGTATTATATGTGAGGCTAGATATCCTAGTTTGATGGCTAGGGCCTTGGTCATCACTTTGTAGTCAGTGTTCAATAGAGTAATTGGACGATAATTCTCTATTTTTGTTTTATCTTTCTTTTTGAAAAGAAGGAACATTACTCCTTCATTGAAAGATTGTTCTGCAATACCGTGTGTTTCGATATCGTTGTATACCCATTGAAGTATTTGTGGTACGTCGGGCTTAGCTTTACGCTCTTTTTCATCATCATCGTCATCTGGACGAGGATATTGTTTCCAGAACTCATAGATGAAGCCATCGTTTCCGGGGCTCCTTCCATTCTGAGTCTTTTTGAGGGCGTATTCTACGTCCATATCTGTTAGACGGCTGTCTAGATCTTCATATGTGTCAGGAGGTATCTCTGGCTTGGGCAGATTTTTAAGAAGCTCTATTGCTTCCCTCCTTTCATTATTCATGTTCTGTTCTGCCTGCAAAGCGGCGTGATGTTCTTTAGCAATTTGTGCCATTTGACTAGTTTCCTTAACTAGTGTTTCGTTCTTGTTCATCAAAGCTATTATAGGTGGTGTCCCTATTTTCTGCTTGTTGAGATTGAACCAGTATTTTGTCATTTTTTCTCCCTTTTGGTGGAATCTGATTTTGGCAGAGTCCTGGGCTTTGTTAATTTGGACGCTCTCCAGTGCTTTAAGCTTTGACTGTGAGTCCGCTATTGACGTTCTGATGGCTTTGATTTCCTCGTTATCCATCTCTTTTCCTCTTATTTGGGAGGTGTTTATTATTTCATTGACGACTTTGGCTCTTTCAAGGGTTGCTTTATTAAGTTTCTTCAGGTCATACTTAATCCCCTTCTCCAAATTTCTCTGTTGTGCATGCGTTTGCTTTTGCCTTGCTGTTACTATTTCTTCGTAGGCCTTTTTTATTGCTGCCTTGGCTTCTACGTGTATTTTCTGAGGATTGGTCGTCTCTCTGAAATGTTTGATTGCGTCATCATTATCATCACTTGCGTGACTGTGGTAGACGTCTCTTTCGTTGCTCATATATTTAATTATGTTAGTTTCCTCGTCCTTAAGAATCTTTCTAGCTCGGTAGAAAAATGTAGGGTACGAGATTTGATCAGCGTGCATGCGCCATGTTCCTTTTCCTATGTATGGTAGCTGCTTTCTCAAAATGGTCATGCTAGCCATTTGATGGTCTGAGATTGCAATGTTGTTCGTTATTTCCCAATTGTAAGTGTATTCAAACGTGTCCTCTGTTACATAGATACGGTCTATGCGGGACATGCTGTTGTTTGAATGCGTGTACGTAAATCCTAGGTCGGTTGGGTTGCATGTACGCCATCCGTCTGTTAAATCATATTTTTTCTTTATGATGTTTATCAAAGTATTCAATCTGTTATCATCGCTGTGTTGCGGTGTTCTGTCTAAGCTTCCTTCAACGAAGTTGAAGTCTCCCATTAGTATAGGGTCCACTAGTTGTGTGGAGTTGACATATGTTACTAGCCTTCTGTAGAAGTCTAATTTTACGGTTAGATCATTTGGTGAGTATACCAATATTATATCTACGCTGGATTCTTCCGTCCATTGTAGTTGTAGGTGCGATGCACGTCCAGGAATAATGACGACGTGTTTCCACTTCATATTTGCTGTTAGATCTTTGTTTAAAAAGAAAGCTATTCCTGCCTTGGGTTGGTTTTCTCCCGATGCATTAGATATTATTTGAATCTTTGGATTCCGTAGCATGAGGTTCGTTTCCTCATCTGGTAGTAATTTCGTTTCGGTCGCTGCTAAGACAGCGACACGTGTTTTGCGCATAGTTGTGACTATGTCTTTGTACTTTGATTTGCCGTTGGCGTACGCTTTCCCTTTCAGGTTCAGCGTGCCAAGTTTTAAACCAGACTTGCGGCCCAGGCTTTTTTCTAGCTTGCTTCGTCTTACCCGAAGAGCCTCTGAGCCATCAAGTATTGTCGTGGTGCGATTATCATTGGATAACCGATTACTGCATATTGGGACAGCGTTTCGCACTCCCGTAACCAAGGAATTGCGTACGCTGATGGGCGTACGTGAAACGTTGTATGAGCCGCGCTCTGTCGGACCTTCAGCAGATACATCCTCGCTTGCCTCGGATAAAATCGAAGGCCCAACGTCATTGTGCCTTCGTCCTAATGAATTTGCCGAACGTTCTCGAACGGTAGAAGAACGCTCTCCCAAGCTTTCGCTTATGTTTATACTACTACGACTTGAGCACGTAATAGCAGGCTCCATCATCGCCCCAATGTTACCGTCCCGCGCTCTAGCGTCAGAACAGCCTATGATGGTATCGTTATTCGTTATCGTTGTATTCATTGTTAATTTGTAGGTGGAAGCTTCGTAGCGCTCCCAGGCTCCTTTGTTCACTTTGTTAAGTGTTGTTCGCCTAGTTTTAGTAGGCTCTTAGTCATGAAAAAGCGTTGAGCATCTTCTTTGTTTAGGCCTTTCTATTTCTAGAAAAGCCTTATTCTTTGTTCCTTACTGTAAGTCTGTTAGACTTACTTTGTTAAAAAGGCGTTTCATTCTCTGCTTAAGAGTGTTAGTATTGTTCACTTAGGTTCCTAAGCTTTAGTAGTAAGTCGAGTTAACGTCTTCCTATTGTTAATGTTGCTACCCAATGTAGTTGTGGCTTAAAAACGCGTTGAGCGTTTCGTTCTCCTTGGAGATGTTAGTATGTTCACTTAGTTTCCTAAGTTCTCAAGAAAGAAAGACGTTTTTGACGTCTTTCTGTTGTTAGAATAGAATAAAATACTTACTACCTTATGTAGTCTCGCTTATATCACACTGATGTTATTCAGAGAAGCGAGTTGTTTCAATCAGAGTCCGTCTATACTACTATTTACAGTATACACTATGGGATGTTGGTCCCTACTCTAATTATACGTTACACCATTGGCTGATGTTCCCCGAAACCCTTGCCGCTCGCACCCTTCTTCTCGACGCGCTTACTCTTTGCCTCGTCTGGTTTCCTCGCCTTTCCTTTCAGGGACTTCTCTTTCTTGGTTCCGTCGGAAGGCCCTGCTCTCGTAGACTTCGATTTCGACTTCTGAGCATAGTCCCAAAAAGAAAGCGGTACATCCAGATGCGCGTGAGTATGCTCGTACACATTCCACCAACACCCTACGTCGACGTGGTCTTCTCCCCTGCAGATAATGCATACAGGGGCGTGGTGAACGGCAAAGATTCGATTGTCCCGCGTATTTCCTGTACGCAGTTTATCGAGACTTGCAAAATTGGTGGCGTCTCTCTGCGTCTTGAACTTGATCAAAAATTGAACCAAATGATCTATTGAGACGTGTTAGCATTGTTCCCTTGTTCAATTGTAGGCTTGAAAATCGTGTTACCGAGGTTCCCTCCTTTGTACGCTGGTGAAGGTCTTCCAGTTCCCCGGATTACCCCCTCAACGTTGTTGACCATCAGCATCTCCTTTATTCCGTCGTCCAGCGTGCCACGATACTTGGCTTCGACGTTCATCACCTGTATGACCTGCTTCGTGTACGGCTTCGTCCTCATTGCGCGGAAAAAGAAGATGCCCTTGTTGTGGAGATTTATGACTACGTTCGCTTTGAGCAAGCTCGCCGCTTGTTCTTGATTATCCAAAGCGACGTGACACCAAGCCGAGTTTTTCAGGGCCCAAACGGGTAGAGTTCGTTTAAGCCCAAGCACGTCCTGCACCGTATTCCTGATCATGTCAAGTCTCGCTGTTCCGTCTCCCATTAATCCTCTGTTGCCTGCTATGCAACAAAGGACCCCCAACTGCCCTTTCTCCGGCTTGTTTTCCTCGTCTTTCCACATCTGCTCATGGCGACAGTACATGGGGACAGGGGGGATAGGGTTCGTCTTCCAATCACGAAGCGGATAGATCAGTTTGGCCACCGGGGGTACGAATGCTTCCTGGACGATGATCTTTCTCGGCCTGACCACTGCTTGCTTTCGCTCCAAAACGACGTAGTCGACGTCGACGTTATTCTCTAAGTTCTCGTCGTCGTCTGAGTCTTCATCCCAGGTATTGAAAACGACGGTGCGAGTGTTGTCCTGTTCATCAGCTGGTTCTTCAGCTTCCTGTTCATCGGCTGGTTCTTCAACCGCCTGTTCGCTAACGACTGACTTCTCTTCTTCTAAGTCATCGTCCTCCTCCTCAACCTCAGCATTCTCGTCGTCCATGCTGACGTCCTTGTTGGAAACCGCCTCGTCTGAGTCGGAAGGGGTTGGTTCTTTCTGCTCAAAGAACTCTAACTCGTCCTGATCGAGTTCCTGCTGTTGACGTGCGAGCTTTCGGGCCGCTTTTCTAGCAGCCTTCTCTTCCTTTTCGGCACGTTGAGCTCGTTTGGCCTCCGCGGCCTTTTTCTGCGCTTTAGTATGACGCGCTTTAGTCTTTTTTCGTGCAGGTTGTTCTGCTTCGTTTGCCGATGTCGTTACCACCGCACCTTCTACGTCCTCCTCTTCCGCTGCTCCAGGCGTATCGGTCCCGAGCAGAGCGAATTTATTTGTGAGGGGCAGAGTCGAAATCGACTTTTTGGCCGTAGGGGTAACGGCGGAGTTGGCGTCGCTGTTGCTGCGCTTGCGCTTCGTCTTCGTAGTAGTAAAGTCAGCCCTGTACGAAGTTATTATTAATTCATTCATATTATTCATTCTCATTCAGCCTCACATTTCTGGAGCTGATGTTGTTGTTGTTGGGGCGGATCTTGACCGACTAAGTCAAAACTTTTTAGGGAGATGGCTAAAATCGGGGGTTCCAAAAGAGGAAGCCCTATTGTTTATCAAATATATAATAGTCGTTTATCTACATTATATAGTGACTTGTTGTTCATACAAACCGGTGTGAACCAGTAAGACCGCGTGTTAGGCGGATTTCTAATCGAACTAGCTAGCTAAATCTATACCTAAGTACAAACCTCACATAGAGAGAAAGAAGTATTGAGAAAACGTACAGACCGATTTAATTACAGTAAGACCACATGTTAGAGTGGATTTGTGCCCGAAGGCTTTTCTAATGAAAGAAAGAAGAAACATACAGCTCGCGTTATACGCAAACTGCCCGTTGGTGTTACCCTGGGATTTGTGCCTGCCCTAAAGTTCGGTTTATAAACCAAAACTCCTCCCCTCATGATTTTCCGCGGAGATGCATCCTTCCCAACTAAGGCAAACTTGGTCTGCCCGAGAGCAGATCTATCTAACCACTTTCCCCCTTTACAGTAGAACCGTAAAGGGATCGCCATGCTTCACCCAATATTACTCCGCAGAAAATCACAAAAGTACGCTCATACGCTAAGACAGTATTGTCCTGCCCTAAAGTTATTCTCCCTGACGTTGCTCACCTCCGCGCTGAAAGCGCGGAGGCTAACATTAAACATCAGTGCACCAAAGACAGCCACTTTGATGTGCACACTTGGCTTCGGCCGATTGGCTTACTAGTCCCTGGGGCCACTAAGAGGCGTGCACTCATGCCCAGAGGTATCTGATCGTTTTCGATCCCCTAACCTTCGTTCTTGATTAATGAAAACATCCTTGGCAAATGCTTTCGCAGTAGTTAGTCTTCAGTAAATCCAAGAATTTCACCTCTAGCAACTGAATACTAATGCCCCCAACTATCCCTATTAATCATTACGGCGACTCTAGAAACCAACAAAATAGAACCGCACGTCCTATTTTATTATTCCATGCTAATGTATTCGGGCACAGGCCTGCTTTGAACACTCTAATTTTCTCAAGGTAAAAGTCCTGGTTCCCCGACACACCCAGTGAAGGGCATGCCGGCTCACCAAGAGGTAAGACCCAGCCAGACAGTACATACCGTTAGGCAGACCGCCCGGCCAGGCCTGAAGTTCAACTACGAGCTTTTTAACTGCAACAACTTTAATATACGCTATTGGAGCTGGAATTACCGCGGCTGCTGGCACCAGACTTGCCCTCCAATTGTTCCTCGTTAAGGGATTTAAATTGTACTCATTCCAATTATAAGACCCAAAAGAGCCCTATATTGTTATTTATTGTCACTACCTCCCCGTGTCGGGATTGGGTAATTTGCGCGCCTGCTGCCTTCCTTGGATGTGGTAGCCGTTTCTCAGGCTCCCTCTCCGGAATCGAACCCTTATTCCCCGTTACCCGTTGAAACCATGGTAGGCCTCTATCCTACCATCGAAAGTTGATAGGGCAGATATTTGAATGAAGCATCGCCGGCACAAGGCCATGCGATTCGAGAAGTTATTATGAATCACCAATGGAGCGGCGAACCGCGTTGGTTTTTTATCTAATAAATACACCCCTCCCAGAAGTCGGGGCTTGATTGCATGTATTAGCTCTAGAATTACCACAGTTATCCATGTAGCAAGGTACCATCAAATAAACTATAACTGATTTAATGAGCCATTCGCAGTTTCACAGTACAAATTTGTTTATACTTAGACATGCATGGCTTAATCTTTGAGACAAGCATATGACTACTGGCAGGATCAACCAGGTAACTACTATCCGAATTGTGAGCGCAAAAGGCCGAAACCCTCCGCACAACACAACGACACCAACGTACTCGCACCAAAGTGCTTTCCCTGGCGGGTGTTCGTCACAAGGCTTTTTAATGCCCTCATTGTATATCCGGTCACAGCACGCCT